TTGTTTATTGGAGGATTTTTAATCACAGTTTCAATTTCAGTGCTTCTGATTGGTCTTCATATTTTCTATTTCTTCCTGGTTCAGTCTTGGAAGGACATATACCTTTCTAAGAATTTGTCCATTTCTTCCAGGTTGTCCATTTTATTGGCATAGAGTTGCTTGTAGTAGTCTCTTAGGATGCTTTTTATTTCTGCGGTGTCTGTTGTAACATCTCCTTTTTCATTTCAAATTCTATTGAGTCCTCTCCCTCTTTTTCTTCATGGGTCTGGCTAAAGGTTTATCAATTTTGTTTATCTTCTCAAAGAACCAGCTTTTAGTTTTATTGATCTTTGCTATTATTTCCTTCGTTTCCGTTTCATTTATTTCTGCTCTGATCTTTATTATTTCTTTCCTTCTACTAACTTTGGGTTTTGTTTGTTCTTCTTTCTCTGGTTCCTTTAGGTGTAAGGTTGGATCATTTGAGATTTTTCTTGTTTCTTGAGGTCGGCTTGTATTGCTATAAACTTCCCTCTTAGAACTGCTTTTGCTGTATCCCATAGGTTTTGGATCATCGTGTTTTCGTTGTAATTTGTCTCTAGGTATTTTTTGATTTCCTCTTTGATTTCTTCAGTGATCTCTTGGTTACTTAGTAACGTATTGTTTAGCCTCCATGTGTTTGTGTATTTTATGTTTTTTTCCTTGTAACTGATTTCTAATCTCATAGCATTGTGGTCAGAAAAGATGCTTGATATGATTTTAATTTTCTTAAATTTACTGAGGCTTGATTTGTGACTCAAGATGTGATCTATCCTGGAGAATATTCTGTGTGCACTTGAGAAGAAAGCGTGATCTGCTGTTTTGGGATAGAATGTCCTATAAATATCAATTAAATCTATCTGGTGTATTGTGCCATTTAAAGCTTGTGTTTCCTTATTAATTTTCTGTTTGGATGATCCGTCCATTGGTGTAAGTGAGGTGTTAAAGTCCCCCACAATTATTGTGTTACTGTCGATTTCCTCTTTTATACAGTTGCCTTATATATTGAGGTGCTCCTATGTTGGGTGCATATATATTTATAATTGTTATATCTTCTTCTTGGACTGATCCCTTGATCATTATGTAGTGTCCTTCCTTTTCTCTTGTAACATTCTCTATTTTAAGGTCTATTTTATCTGATATGAGTATTGCTACTCCAGCTTTCTTTTGATTTCTATTTGCTTGGAATATCTTTTTCCATCCCCTCTCTTTCAGTCTCTTTGTGTCCCTAGGTCTGAAGTGGGTCTCTTGTAGACAGCATATATATGGGTCTAGTTTTTGTATCCATTCAGCCAGCCTGTATCTTTTGGTTGGAGGATTTAATCAGTTCACTTTTGAGGTAATTATTGATATGTATGTTCCTATGACCATTTTTTTAATTGCTTTGGGTTCTTTTTTGTAGGTCCTTTTCTTCTCTTGTGTTTCCCACTTAGAGAATTTCCTTTAGCATTTGTTGTAGACCTGGTTTGGTGGTGCTGAACTCTCTTAGCTTTTGCTTGTCTGTAAAGCTTTTGATTTCTCCATCAAATCTGAATGAGATCCTTGCCGGCTAGAGTAATCTTGGTTGTAGGTTCTTCCCTTTCATCACTTTAAGTATATCATGCCACTCCCTTCTAGCTTGTAGAGTTTCTGCTGAGAAATCAGCTGTTAACCTTATGGGAGTTCCCTTGTATGTTATTTGTCATTTTTCCCTTGTTGCTTTCAATAATTGTTGTCTTTTACTTTTGTCAGTTTGATTACCGTGTGTCTCGGCATGTTTCTTCTTGGGTTTATCCTGCCTGGGACTCTCTGTGCTTCCTGGACTGTGGCTATTTCATTTCCCACATTAGGGAAGTTTTCAACTATAATCTCTTCAAATATTTTCTCAGGCCCTTTCTCTTTTTCTTCTCCTTCTGGGACCCCTCTAATGCGAATGTGGTTGTGTTTAATGTTGTCCTAGAGGTCTCTTAGGCTGTCTTCATTTCTTTTCATTCTTTTTTCTTTATTCTGTTCCACAGCAGTGAATTCCACCATTCTGTCTTCTGGGTCACTTATCCATTCTTCTGCCTCAGTCATTCTGCTATTGATTCCTTCTAGTGTATTTTGCATTTCAGTTATTGTATTGTTCATCTCTGTTTGTTTGTTCTTTGATTCTTCTAGGTCTTTGTTAAACATTTCTTGCATCTTCTCAATCTTTGCCTCCAAGGTCCTGGATCATCTTCACTATCATTATTCTGAATTCTTTTTCTGGAATGTTGCCTATCTCAACTTCATTTGGTTGTTTTTCTGGGGTTTTGTCTTGTTCCTTCATCTGGTGCAAAGTACTCTGCCTTTTCATTTTGTCTGTCTTTCTGTGAATGTGGTTTTCCTTCCACAGGCTGCAGAATTGTAGTTCTTCTTGCTTCTGCTGTCTGCCCTCTCACAGAGGAGTTTTGAAAGTAAATGTGAAATGTGAACTCAGTTCTGAATCAGAAGCCAGGTGGCATAACATGTAACAAGAGGTGAAGACATGTCTTTTTCCTCATTGAGAGAGAAAGTGGGGAAAGGGTAGATGAAGTGGAGGTGAGACAGCTAGAACAAGGATTATGTCTCTGGTTGGTGGGCATAAAGAAACAGGCTCTGAGGTCTGCAGGTGGAGGGAGCACTAAAATATCAAACTCACTTGTCAAGGAAAAGTTTCATCTGTGATGGAGCAGGGTAGTCGTGATTGATGTTAAATTGACAAAAGGCTGCTAAATTTTTAATGCAGGTGAGTTAATAGGTAAGACACATTATATTACCTTCTTAGTGGATATATCACGCTCAGTGTAGCAGTGAAAGAGTTGGTCTTTGGACGCTTGATCAGATGGCCCACCTTCTAGCATGTAAATTCCTGCTACAGCACACCAGGCCATGGTCAACCAGTCTTTTCTCAGATGGTGAACACATCACCTCTTGACAGCTCTGAAAAAGCTTTTCCCTGTGGCTTCTAACCACAGGACCAAGTTCCCTCCTCTGGAGCCGAATGGCTTGGGCCTAGTCTCTCTTCTAGGACTTCAGACGCAAGTGCAGTGGAGTTGCCTCTACCAGCCTTGCACTGCCTCCTCTACTCCCATGTCAACAGTGCACAGGGTCCCTAAAGGACTGTCCCTCTGGTTTTGAACCTAAACCTTGTTGATTATAGGTATTCTCTTTTTTTTATGACATAGCTCTTATTAAGGGCTGAGTATTTTATAACACAGTTATGAAACCAGATTGAAACCTGGTCCTTTCTCTAAGGTAAATCACAGAGTATAGGAGACGGACAGTATATATTTATAGAGGTTCAGTAATGGTTCAGTAGTAAGGGTAAACATGGTGAGCTAAGGTGGGGAAGTTGCTTCATATCTTTACTGTTCTTAATATTGAGGTAAAATTTGAATAGAGTGAAATGCACAGATCTTAAACGTACCATTTGATGTAATCCACACCCTAATCAAGATATAGAATAGTCCTGCCCCCCAAGATATAGTCCCTGCCCCCCTGAAAATTACCTCATGCTCCCTTCCAATCAGTTCCCTCCCCCACAGGCAACTACTGTTCTGATTTCCGCCACCACAGATTAATTTCGCGTACCTCATATGGTTCTGTGATTGCAAATTTCACATCAAAAGTCTCTCACTGCAGATAAGTTGATATGGAAGAAAGCAACATTCAGAGACTATGCATCAACATGCTGTGTGCCCTTGGGCAAAAATCTTAACCTCCCTGGGCCTCGTTACAGGGTTCCATAGGTGATCCTCTTGATTCTTTAAAGATCGAACTCCGCTCACATTTTTAATCTCAAAACTGCCACCTCCCCCCATCGCAGTCCGTTCAAGAACCCGGAGCAGAAACAAACCTCGGGCTCATTCCACCCTCTCCAGTTGAGCATTCTGTCAGGTCAGTTCTTCCTTGTGATTTTTTTGGACATGTCACTTACTTTAGTCCCTACCTCCTCTTCATCTCTTGCCTTGTAATGACCAATCAAATTACTTTTCCGACCTCTCTTGCCCCCGGTCCTCTCCAAACTATTCTTATTACTGCCCCCAAGCTAACCCCTGATAAAATGAAACAAATTCTGGCCGCTTTTCTATTTAAAATCCTTAAGTGGTTCTCCACCATTTAAGGTGCTTCTCTGTCACCTACAGACTTGAGTTCCAGTTCTCAAGTTTGACAGTGAGGCCTTAACCGAATGCCTCCAGCCTGTGTTTAGTGCCTTCAGCTCCCCAGCGCTCTCTGCTGGGAGGCTCACCCTGCCATCGCTCTCCTGCTTCCCCAGCTCCCTCCCCATTTCCACAGGCCCCTGTTAGGGCACTGCACTTGCCGTCCCCCTGATTCTGCTGTGAGCTCTGCAGTGAGGTTAGGGACCGTATTTTATTCACTTCTCTATCTCCAGCATCTGGCATATGACTTTGCCGACAACGCTTAACCCCAAAGTAACTAAATCATGAGATTTCTAAGGATGGTGCTGCACTGGGTCAGGGTCTTATTCAGACTTCACATTGATGTTTCTAGAAATAAAAAAATCATATGGAAGTTTTCATGCATGTCTGACCACTTCATCAAGTCTGATTCTGAGTTTTTCATTCCAGTAGCTTTCGTGATAATATTGGGTTAATGGTGAGCAAGTTTTTTATTTGGAGAGAGGGTGTATTTATTATTGATAGGAGGTCTCAAAACAGTGAGTCCCGCTGGTGTGAAAGAGCTGTCTGTGCTCTAATTCCTATCTCAAATCTAACTCATGTGCTTCTTCGTTTAGTTCTACAATGGCAGATTACCGTTTCTACAAATGAAGGTAATTTCTTTCTAAAGGTAATTTGTGGTAATTAGCAAGCAGATAAAAAACTAAAAATGACTGGTAAATACTGACCCAAGAGCATAGGAAGACGAGTATTTACAGCCCTTGTTTGTTCATCTTGGTTCACTTGGTCCTGGTTTTGTGAGTCAGCATTGCTGTCTGAATTGATCTTTACTCCACCTGTATTTTTATCTTTTCCAAAACCTAGGTAAGAACCTGGATGCCGTCCATGACATCACGGTGGCATACCCTCACAACATTCCCCAGACAGAGAGGCACCTCCTCCTTGGGGACTTTCCTAAGGAGATCCACTTCCACGTCCACCGATACCCAGTGGACACCCTCCCAACATCCAAGGAGGACCTCCAGCTCTGGTGCCGCAAGCGGTGGGAAGAGAAAGAGGAGAGGCTGCGCTCCTTCTATCAAGGGGAGAAGAATTTTTACTTTACGGGGCAGACTGTCATTCCGCCTTGCAAGTCTGAGCTCAGGGTCCGTGTGGTCAAATTGCTCTCCCTACTGTACTGGACCCTGTTCAGCCCTGCCGTGTGCCTGCTCGTCTGTCTGTACAGCCTTGTCCGGTGGTATTTTATAATCATCATTGTCGTCTTCGTGGTGCAGGAGAGAATATTTGGTGGACTGGAGATCATCGAACTTGCATGTTACCGTTTTTTACACAAACAGCCACATTTAAATGCAGAGAAAAAGGAGTAAGGTTGTAAGGTTCACAGTGTAAAAACCTAGGGGATATTTTGGATAAGCTTTTGTAAACCGAGATGCTTTTTTGCATGACTATGTCAAATATTTCTTACTATCGTCATTATTTGTTAAAGATATTTTGCACTTAGTTTTGTGGGAAAATATTGCTACACACACGATTTTTTTTTTTTTAAATCTCTGAATGTAATTTCAGCACTGTGCAGCAGGGAGCGATCGCTGTGAAATAACTTGGGCCAGAGTATTAGTGAACAATCATCAGGCTGTTAGCAGACAAGGCACACACGGATCTTCTTAGAGGCCCAATCCTGCTTCCTAACAGACTCCTCAGACAGGAGGCAGATCTGGGGCTCCTGGGCAGTGGCCCAGATCAAGTGCTGGCACCTGACGGTGGAGGTGAGGGCCCTTGCTCCTGGCTCCCTCTCGGCCCTGTCCCCGCACTCCTTTCTATGCCAATCAAACCCTTGCATCCTTCCTCAAGACCAGAAAACAGAAACCCCTTGTCCTTAAGCTGAACAAACATTTTAATAGGAAGACCTTCATTACTCATGAAATCTTCGCATTTAGCCGTGCACTGACCTAGACGTCACAAGACCACCGGTGCCCGTTTGTCACGTGGAAAATAAGAGCTGGACAAGTCTCAGGGAGCAACCACAGGCTCTCCACTCAGAAACCTTAGTTTGAATTTTTAAAACCAGGAATTCATACAGTTTAGTTCTTCACTTCTGTGTAACCTTGTTTAGTGCGGGTTTCTTTACAGCTTGCTAGCAGGTGTAGCTTTTCTGCATTATAAACGGTATACATCAAGTCACTTACCTTTTAAAGGAAAGCGTAGAAGAACGTTCTCTTATTGCCATCAGAAACACTTGAAGTTGCGTCTTGGTTGAAATATTTAAAACCTGCCACAGAAAGGAAGGTTATTGTATTTTCTACATGTGCACGGGTGTCTAACTTCTGCCACTAAATCAGCAGCAGCACTTGCAGACAGGGCCGTAATGGTTTAACCTAAATTATTCAATCCTTGTAGCCTTGACAAGTTTTATTCTTAAAACCAAAATGGTCACACAAAAGGGAATTCTTTTTTAATGATAGTGAGGGATCTCTCTTTTTTAGTCCCAGGTTTCCTCTTTCATTAGTAAAACCCACATTTTACCAATTGTTCACCTAAATATTCCTGTTATTTGGAGTCAATGGAAAATTCAGCAAGTCAACAGCACCAGTCTCCTTCTGAGGCAAAAAAGAAATGTGTGGTCATTGTTTCCACTCCGCTGGGGCCCTGCAGCTACGTTTTTGTTTTTTTTTTTTGGTCCTAATGGGAATGCCGGTCAGAGCAGCAGAAAATATGGGGCAATTAAAAGTCTTTACTGGGCTTCCCTGGTGGCGCAGTGGTTGACAGTCCACCGCCAATGCAGGGGACATGGGTTCGTGCCCCGGTCTGGGAAGATCCCACATGCCGCGGAGCGGCTGGGCCTGTGAGCCGTGGCCGCTGGTCCTGCGCGTCCGGAGCCTGTGCTCCTCAACGGGAGAGGCCACAACAGTGAGAGGCCCGCGAAAAAAGTCTTTACTGTTAAAAAAACCTGTCCGCTTATTCCTGCCTTGAACCAGCTTCAAACACTGTTTCTAGCTTTGTGTACTCTTGGCACGAGTGCCTTCTCCTTAATTACATCTCCTTTGTGCTGGACGGTGATTTCCGCCGGCAGTGGAAACCGGCATCGCTGTGACAGGCAAGCACGCTGTGAGCTAGACTTACCCAGCAGACTCTTCTTTCAGAAAGCCACCGCAGCACTCTGTTGGCATACCATCTTCACTGGAAGAGAACTAACTAGTGCCTCTGCTGCAGAGCCCAGCCTGTATTTAACTACTCTCCCAAGGCTGTTTTTAATCCTGCCGGGGCTACTAATTAGTTATTATGCACATCTGCTCCAGACCCAGCTTCCTTGGTTTTTAAGGTGGTTATTTTTTTAACCTTTTTTTTTCCCCCTTTAATAAAAGAGGTTTCTAATTTAGGTCTCTCTCAGACTTCTGGTTATATTTGGAAATAAGAAATAGTTTAACAATCAGGATTGCATTTGTCCTGGGTCAGAGAGAAACGCTGAGTTTTCTGCTCCACAGGTGTTTGTAATGTAGCCAAGCTGCCCTTCCTCCAACTCTCAAGGCTCCTTGGTTCAGGGTCTGGCTTTAATGGCGAGTCCTCTTGAACCCTATGAAACCTGTAAAAGGGGAACTCTTCCTTTTTAAAACATGTTTTCTTTTGATCGTAAAAAACATGTTTAAGATAAAATGCAAACTCTTTTTTAGTACCCTGAATTCATAAGCACCGAAACTGAGACATTGTACTTCTAAGAATTAGAAATAACTTCAAAAAGAAAAATGTTGCCTTTTTTGGTCTCTGGTGTGTTTTTTTTTGTTTGTTTGTTTTGTTTTGTTTGCAATAAGGCTTCTTTTAAAATTGAAATCATTTGTGTTTTCCTACACAACTTTTTCTTCTCTTATTTAAAGAAATACACTGTGCATGATTTGGACTCCAAAATTGATAGTGTCAGGTAGAGGTTAATGCAGCTACAGTACTGCGCTTGGCCTCAGCTGTGACCCCTTCCCACCTCCCAGTCTGGCTCTGGACTCAGCGGCCGCCTGTCCGGCAGCATCTGGACTCTCACCAGTCCATCCAGAGGAGACTCAGTGGAGTTAGAAATGTTTACAGTGCTGTATGTCCGTTTGTTACATCTTTACCATTCAGACGAGATTTAAATACAGCAAGTGTGGTTTACATGGGACGTGGGAACCTACAAGGAAGGGCACTGATTAGGTCACAAGTTTTCCCACCAGGCCTCTGATGAAACAAGCCAAAGTCATTGGAAAATTCAGTAGAAGAACATGGTAAAAGACTAAAAGAAAAATAAATGTCAGAGCCCATAATTTAAAGTTCTTAATAAAATCCTTGCTTGTTAGGCTACTAAAACAGACGGGGAGAAATCCCAGCTTCCACCTGAGTCACTTTGAAATTAGTTACGTCCATAGCCCCACGTCAGACCTCGTCCGTCAGCAGCCGACTGAACTCGCCGGGAGGGGAGACGTTCCCATCTCACTCGGGCTTCAAGCTCGGCCTGAGCACGCTGCCCTCCTGCACTTTTATAACGGAGACTAATGGAGGGAGCCTGTTGGTATTAAATTGTTTACATTTCTTTATATAAATAATGTGCTTTCAGTGCCTTAGTTACGGGTCCCTTTCTCTTGTTCCAAGAATTCTGCAATGTGTCTCTTAGGTAAAAGTCTCTTTTTGCTATTCACTGGGAGAAAAATGGTTTCTAAAACACTGGTCACTGTGGTCAATACTATGTGAGGACATCTGGGAAAGAGAGCTTTATGTGGAGGTAGCGGTTGCCTCAGGGCTATTGTTTATGTTGCAGAAATGCTCTTGTCACATGATAAGCTTCAGATTAGACATGGCCCTAAAGTTGTCTTGTGCTGACCTTAAATTCTTATTTCAGAAGAGAATCTTGGTTTAGGTAATTCATTTTTTAAAAGATCATGTGCAAAAACACTACGTTTTAAAAATAACTCACAGAATGGCCTTAGTTTTTTATGTCCGCTGGTATCTTTGTGAGTTGTGTTCTCTGTAGTATACATCCCAGAATAAAGTGGAGTGAATTCAATAGTTTACACGTGTGTTGGGTTTCTGTTTTTTGCAGGAATGACCGGAGGCTCTATTGTTATTGTATTATAACATGTGGTATTGAGGAAGAGCTGACCAGTTAGGACTCTCTTTCACAGATGTTTAAAACATAATGCCAAAGCAAAAAGGGAATATACCACCTTCATCACTGAAAAAGTCCAGGGGCCGCAGCTGAATTCACGGTTCAGTGAATGTCGTCAGAACTTGGTTTTCCCCCATCTCAGTTCAGCCTGAGGGCAGTGTGGTCGTTCCACAAGGGAGGGGGTCGCATGGGAAATATCCACACCACTAGCTGTAAGAGGTAAACGGGGCTCTATGCACACCCCTCCCCCACTGTCAGGAAATACAGGACTAGGAAGGCAATTCTTGGACCAAAGCTTGACAAATGCATGAAAACACACTTAGCAAACAGACACGCACAAAAATCATGGGACCTAAGGGTAGCAGGATATGCTGCCCCAGAATATGAGTGTAGGAGTTCAGGACATGCCATCCCAAATATACCACTTTGGAATATTGATTATTGTCAGCTGTAGGCACTTGAGAAACAGCAAATGCAGGGAAGGGCTGTCTCTGAACTCTCCTTTTCTGCCTGAAGACAGATCCTCCAAAAGAACTCAACTGCCATAAATCCCCTCCCTGGGAGTTTCATCAGCCGGAGGGGATTGACTCTTGTCACAGGAAAGGAGACTTCACACCCACACACTTTGCCACAAAAGGCCATACCCACCCCCCATCTATTCCAAGGGTCCATTCATCTTTCCTAGAAAACATTCACTATCCCCTAAGAGGGCTACTTTCTTCCTCCCCTTTTCCATTAAGATGGTATTTCAGGGGCTTCCCAGGTGGCGCAGTGGTTGAGAGTCCGCCTGCCGATGCAGGGGACACGGGTTTGTGCCCCGGTCTGGGAAGATCCCACATGCCACGGAGCGGCTGGGCCCGTGAGCCATGGCCGCTGAGCCTGCGCGTCCGGAGCCTGTGCTCCGCAACGGGAGAGGCCACAACAGTGAGAGGCCTGCGTACCGCAAAAAAAAAAAAAAAAAAAAAAAAAGATGGTATTTCAGGCCTGGATTCTAAGCCACCTCAAAGAGTTACTCATTTTTCCCTGGGTATCTTCATGAATACATGAGGGATACATGCTAATAAATTTTTGACTGTTCTCCTCTTGTAAATCTGGCTGATATTACTGGAGTCTCAGCCAAGAACTCAGAAGGGTAGAGGGAAAATGATTTTCCTCCCCTACAGAACCTAAGCTCTGCAGTGCCCCATTCTGTCTTCGGGTTCTCCAACAAGCATTTGCTTGAAAGATCCACTCTGAGGGGAGCCCCCAATGTCATTCTCTGGGAAGGGGGCATGAGGGACCAGAAGAATGGGTTTCCAGGACTGGGCCATGGGACTGGTGGGATTTCTATATTCTGTTCAGGCAAAGGGGAGAGGAGAGCATAGTCTTTCTAGTCACCCATGTGCTTCC